TCTGTTTTGTTCTTGGGGGTGGGGGCTTCCTTGATGGCTTTGATTTTGTTTCCGGTCGGGTGGATGCCATGTCGGTCTAGGAGGTACCCCAGGAACTCGACTTGCTCTGTACAAAGCTGGCATTTCTCTCTCTTCACTTTTAGCCCGGCCCCATTGAATTTTTCAAGTACCTCCCTTAGGCGACCCTCTAGTTCTTCCCGGTTGGCTGCCGACACTAGTACGTCGTCGAAGTAGGGGACCACCCCCTTTATCCCTCGCAGTAGTCTCTCCATGAGGCTCTGGAAAATTCCCGGGGCCACGCTGACTCCAAACTGGAGTCGGTTACAGCGAAACGCTCCCCGGTGGGTGACTATTGTTTGCGCCTCGGCGGTTCCTTCGTCGACCGGCAGCTGCTGATAGGCTTGCGCCAGGTCGAGCTTCGCGAAAACCTTGCCCCCCCCCCCCAGCGAGTGAAGTAGGTGTTGCACTACTGGGACGGGGTAGGCACTTTGTTGCAGGGCGCAATTGAGGGTGGCCTTATAGTCCCCGCAGATTCTTACTGACTCATCTGGCTTAACTGGGGTGACTATTGGGGTCTCCCATCGGGTGTGGTCAATTGGTTGCAAAACCCCCTGTTTGACGAGCTTGTCAAGCTGCTCGTCTATTTTTTTCCGTAGTGCAAAAGGCACCCGCCTCGGTTTTAGGCGTATGGGGGCGATGTTGGGGTCTAGACTGAAGGAGATAGGGGGCCCTCGGTACTTGCCTAGGGTGCCGTCGAATACTTCTTGGAAGTCCTTTGCCAGTTGCTGCTCCCAGTCGGCTTCCGCGATGTGATTTATTCCCGTGACCTCGATGCCAAGTGGTGCGAACCATTGGAGTCCTAAGAGGCTGGGTCGGTTCCGGTCCACGATTGTCAGGGGAAGCTTTGCGGTGTGGCCCTTGAAGGTCACCTCGAACTGTCCGGTCCCGATGACGGGGATTCGGTTCCCCTGGTAGTCCTTGATCACCAATTTCTGGTTCTCCAGTCCTCCCTTCTGTATGGTTGGCACCAGCTGCTTGATTTCTTTCCAGGCGACCATGGAGAGGTAGGACCCGGAGTCCACCTCCATCCGGCAGGGCTCGCCCTCGATGTCCACTTCTACGTAGACCTTTCAGGCATCGGTGGTCTCGGCGTGGCTGATCATGACCGTCTGGTGGGTTTCCTCCCTCTGGTGGTCTTCCCCGTTTCGTCGCCCCCGGGTGTCTCGGCTCCAGCGATTTTCGGCTTGGCGCTCTCTGTGTCTGGGGGGTGTGTCGTCTCGCCTCCGGTTGCTCGGGTCCCGGCGGCGGGGGCTGTATGTTTTCCTGAGTCGGCAGACTCGGGCGATGTGGCCCCTCTTATTGCAATGCCGGCAGGTCGCGTCGATGAAACGGCATTCTGATCGAGGGTGGTTGCCCCCACACCCGGCACACTGGGGACCCGACTTACGACCTCGTTGATCTCGTCAGTCCCGTCCTGCCTGGAGCCGATGGACGTCTTCCTCTTCTTCTGGGGTGTCCGAGGCGGAGTCCAGGTCCCCGTGGTGTGTGGTGGTCTCTCGTCGGCTTGCCTCGGGGTTATCGGTGCGGTCCCTGTTCTCTGCCTTCCGAAGTCGGGCCGCTGATTTTTTGGTGGCTTCGGCTGCGGAAGCTTCCGCCATGGCGGTGGCGAGGTCGATGTCGCCCTTTGCCATCAGTCGGCTCTTTAGTGCCTGATCCTGGAGGCCCAGGACCACGCGGTCTCGGAGGGCATCGTCCAAATCCCGGAACTCACACAGGCCCCCGAGGTCCCGCAGGTCAGCTATGAAATCACTGACGCTCTCGTCCTGCCGCTGGTTCCGCCGGTAGAACTCATCCTGCCGGATGAGGATGGGCACGGCGGGGGCGTAGTGGTTTTGGAGTAATGGTTCGAGGTCGGCCCAGTCCATCGCCTTCACATCTGTGGGTTTTGCGAGAGCTTTGGCCATCTTGAACACCGCGGGCCCGCAGTGTGTCAGGAAGACGGCCCTTTTCTTCTGTCCGTTCGCGTCCTTCAAGTTGCTACTCTCGAGGAACATTAGGAATCGGTCTGTGTATGGTTCCCAGTCCTCAGTAGCCGGGTTGAATGGCACGGGCGGGGTGATGCCGGCCATCTAGTCGGTCTTTGTCTTCCTCGGGACACGTGCTCGGTGGTTCTTCCTTGAATCCCACCTTCATCGCCAGTGTCGTGTCTGGCGCAGGAAGGAAGCTCGGAGTCAGTGACTGGTTTCAGCTCTTTATTGTGCTCCGTTTACAGCTTAAGCTTGGAAGGAGAAACGGCGGCTTTTTATTTCCAAGCTGCGGCGGCCGCGGCCAATGGCACCGCTTCGAATCTCCCGCGCTTAGTTCCACCAATCGCGGGAGATTCTCAACGGGCCAATCCGTGCGGCTCGCTCGACCAATCCGGTCGCCGCGCGCTTTAGCCAATCGCAGCGCGGGGTTTACGAGTATGTTATTTGACTGTACAGAACAGAAAGAAAGAAAGAAAGAAAGAAAGAAAGAAAGAAAGAAAGAAAGAAAGAAAGAAAGAAAGAAAGAACAGAAGAATGAAAGGAAGGAAAGAGAGAGAGAGAAAGGAAGGAAGGAAGAAATAATAGAAGGAAAGAAAGAAGGAAGGAAGATCTTAGGGATATATAATAGACAGAAAGACAGAGATATGCTATTAAATGAATACATGTTCCTTTCCCATTAAGACCTAGGGAAGAAAATCCTCAAAGTTTCAAGTCCAGCAAACAGTGTAGAAGACCTACCCCATATTGCTCCCTGCTGCCAAGAGATCAGTTCACTTCTTACTTTCAAACAGGTATAATTAGCCTGTCTTACAATATAGTGAGGGTTATGAACTCTTGAGTGATAAAGAAAATAAATTAATGAAATTGACAAAGGACTAAAAGAAGGCAAGAATATTTGAATAAAAATATCAAAGATCTGTACAACAAGAGTGTCTGACTACCCTAGCATAAGCCAAGAAGCTAATCACCCAAGGTATCATCATGTAGGAAATACAAAAATAATATCCTTATTTTCAGTTTTTTCAAGCTTCCCAAAATAAATAAACTCTGATTTGGACATACACTCTGTTTTTTTTAAATAGCTAAGTTACTTTGGGCCAGTCATTCATTCTCAGCCCAATTCACCTCACAGGGTTATTGTTGTGGGGAAAAAAGGAGGGAAAAAGAGTATTAAGAATGTTTTCTGTCTTCAGTTACTTATAAAGTAATAAAGGTAGGATAAAATCAAATTAATAAACATATAAGTATACAAATAACTAACTACCCTTCAAAAGCTCTCAAAATGTAGTGCGTAGCATTTTTTCACCTATCTTCCAAAAACTTGCACTCTTTCTGAATTCAATACAGATTCATATTACCTGTTGTTTCTAAATACTTGGACCTCTGAAACCAGATAAAGGTGAAACTTGTGGGTAAATGTTTGGAGAAATTTATAATTACCCTTTTTTCTGTTTAGAAAATCAACCACTCAATCTGACAATGGATTGAGTCCTAATTTTCCTTCTGCTAAGAAGCACAGTTAAAATATTCAGTGGCCAACTATCATGCCTTTGGGAAACTGGTCCTATGAGGTCACGCCTCAGTCCCAAATCAGAAGCGATAATTGTATGGAGATATTCTTGAGGTAAAACAAACACTCCAAGATTTATTTATTTTTCTTATAGTTTCTAACTGAAGGATAATGACAGTAATGAGGATAAGACCTACCATGGCATAATGGTGAAAATGTTTGACTGGGTGCCAGTCTACCATCATAGAGATGGACTTCCTTCCTCTTCTCTCCTTCCTCCCTCCCTCCCTTCCTTCTTATAAAAATATTTGAAAAGAATATGCCAACTTCTCACATATTTAAGCAATTTCTCTCATATCTTTTGTCCCAAACCAGTTGTGCATCATGGTCACTGCTGTGGAGAGGCTTTTAAAAGTCCAGGAAAGGAGGACATTTGGCTTGGAAAATATCCACATTTAATGTACTCATATCCACTTAGGCTATAGTTCTTTGAAACTAATGCATATTGTGATTAAAGAAGTCCTTCCCATCAAGGTTCTATTCCCATGAATTTAGCAGGTGTCTACTGGCTGAGCAAGGCAGAAAGAGTTCAGCCCACTCACAAAAATAAGAGGGATCTATTCCTCTTTTTTCCAATTTCTTCAAAGGCAAAACAGGTGACTTCAGGCTTGGAGCACATTGACCTACAAACCTTACCTTCCAAATACAAGTAGTCCTCGACTTACCACAGTTTGCTCAGTGACTGTTTAAAGTTACAATTGAAAAAAACACTGAAAAAAGTGACTTTGGCCATTTTTCACACTTATGACCATTGTAGCACCCCACATTTGGATGCTTGACAAGTGACTCATATTTATGGCAGTTGCAGTGTCCCAGGGTCATATGATCATCTTTGCAAACTTCTGACAACCAAATCAATGGGGAAACCAGGGTCACTTTAACAACTGTGTTACTAATCTTACAACTGCAGTGATTCACTTAACAAATATGGCAAGAAAAGTCAAGACTCACTTAACAAATTTTTCACAGCAATATAAATTTTGGGCTCAATTGTGGTCATATGCTGAGGACTACCTGTAGTTATTTACTTGAAGAATGTAGTTATGTGTGATGTGTGCAATTGAGTTTGGTATAGAATGCATGGATTATTATATTATGATAATTTTAATATTGTTTTTGATAGATTACAACAAGTTTTATTAAATACTCCTCATCGTTAGCTCCATGTTTTTCATATGTAACATAAGTAGCTATGTAAAATTTCCAACAAACAAACTTACATTGGCTTTGAGAAAGATCACACTCTTCTACTTGGGGGATTTGGGGGACCATACATGGAGGCTTGGACTTGTATGTTGAACGGCTCTGCAATTACTCTTTTAGTAGAAAGAAGAATTAGTCCTAAATCTAATCTGTGAAATCACAAAGATTTCCAAAGCATCTATTCATAGTTTCCCATTTTTCTAAGACCAATAAGGAAAAGTGCATTTCTTCTTCACCCGTCCCATTGCCTCTTTCATTTCCTGATTTCTTAAAGAATATATCATAGGATTAAGGAAAGGAGTAATTGTGGTATAAAATACGGATGCTATTTTGTCCAGACTGGCGCTGAAGATAGGAACAAGGTACACAAAGAGGCAAGGCAGGAAGAAAAGACTAACCACCATCAAGTGAGAGCTACAGGTGTACAGAGCCTTTCCTCCACTCTCCTTGAAGTGTCCTTGAAGTGTGCTCAGGATGATGCCATAGGAGATCAACAAGATGGCGAAACACACCAGGGAGAGCAAGCCGCTGTTGGCCACCATGAGTATCTCAGTCACTTGGGTATCAACACAAGCCAATTTGACTACCTGTGGAACATCACAAAAGAAATTGTCCACTTCATTTGGCCCACAGAATGGCAGCCGTAGGACCAAGAACACTTGGCTGGAAGAATGAAGGAGGCCTCCAGCCCAACAGAAGCACAGGAGTCTAATGCACCATCGTTGGTTCATCGTGGTTGTGTATGTCAGTGGATGACAAATAGCCACATAGCGATCGTAGGCCATGAGGGTTAGAAGGAGCATCTCTGAGCCTCCGAAGAAGTGTAAGAAGAAGAGCTGGGACATACAGCCTCCAAATGAGATAGTCCTGGTTTGGGTGATCAAGTCTATTGCCAACTTGGGAACAACTACAGAACCCAAAGCAGTATCAAGGATGGATAAATTAGCTAAGAAAAAATACATGGGTGACCTTAGAAGGTGTGAATCTATACGCACAATCAATACAATGAGGAGGTTTCCCAACAGAATGGCAGTATAACACATCATAACCAGGACAGATAGAAGGAGCTGAGTTGGTCCAGATTTGGAAAGACCCAAGAAGGTGAATTCTGTGACTCTGGAGGCATTCATGAAGGTGATAGGACCTTACAAAGACAAACAACAATTATTTAGTATTGTCAATTCCAGCATGTCTTCCCAGTAACCAGCAAAGTGAACCCAATTTGTCATATGGTACAAAGAGAAGTAACATCATCTTCAATATCTATTACTAGCTGATCCTCTTGGTTCTTCTCTTAGATTATAGAGGACCAAGTTACCATGATCCAGTGGATTCTTGATACTATAGTTCTGCCATTTTAGTAGCTACCATTTCCTCATGGGAATGCAGCCAGAACTTTCACTGAACCAGAGAGAAATTCTTGACTGCCTTTACATCCAAATTTTGTTTGATTAATCCATACCATTTTTGTAGGATAGGACCAGAAAAAATCTCATTTCAAAGAATTTCATATTAAGCTTGTGAAGCACATTTTTCTGAACATATCATAATGTCATGTGATTTGCCTTTGCCAAACATGAAATGAGAATTATGTAGCCATCTCCTGAATGTCTTCCACTAGTATTTCAGAAATGTCTGGAAACTTACAAATGAAGAACAGTAGCATAAGCAGCAGAAATACCAGAAGGTGCATGCACAGATATGACCTAAATGTGAGAAGCAAGGAAATCGAGCATAGAAAGGAAATTTAATCATCTAGGAAACTTAGTCATTCAGTCAAGGTGCTTATGTGCTTCCAAGTCAGTGGTCCCCAACCTTTTGGGCACCAGGGATTGGGAGGAGAGAGGTTTGCCTGTGGCCTGGAGGGGACGTGGTTCCATGTGCTGCCTGAATTCTCTGGATGGGGCTTCACTTGATTTTACGTGGCCTGGTTTCTGGCATGCCATGGACCTGTCTGGTCCATGGATCGGGGTTGATCTAAGTCAGAAGTGCAATTGCACCCTGTGTTTATGAACTAATTTTCTGGCAGTTATCTAGGGAATGCTAATATATGTATATGCCCTCTAGCTGAACATCATATTACTCTGTCTATATCTGTCTGCCTGCCTGCCTGCCTATCTGCCTATCCCTCTATCTATCTATCTATCTGTCTGTCTGTCTGTCTGTCTGTCTGTCTGTCTGTCTGTCTGTCTGTCTGTCTGTCTATCTCTACCTATCTATATCTACCTACCTACCTGTCTGTCTGTCTATCTATCTGTCTGTCTGTCTATCTGTCTATCTGTCTGTCTGTCTATCTGCCTGCCTGCCTGCCTGCCTATCTATCTATCTATCTATCTATCTATCTATCTATCTATCTATCTA